GGCTCCCAGTGTCTTTCCACTCATGAGAATTTCTTGCAGTAAATCAGGACCCACTGCATTATTTCTTACGAGTTTAGGAAATTGTGGAAGCATTTCTCGGACTGAAAATCAGAAGTCACAAACTCATCCCTTTTTTATTCTCTGCTGGGAGCAGTGCTTATTCTTGTCTTTCCAAGCTGCGTGATATAAGGTATTTTGAATAGTGCTGCTGTAGCATCATATGATTTGTAGTGGTGTACATAGCAGAGACGGATTTGTGCTTCAGACTGTTTTTTTTTAACCGCTAACGAAAGTTGCGCCCGCTCCACTTGCTTTACAGATTTGGAAATTTATAGTGATGATCAGAGTGTTGTGTGTGTATATTACTTTCATTTTGATGCTTATATTGTTACTTATAGGTTGCCCACAAATATTCTATTGGCTTTTAAAACCTCTTGCTGTGTGATGAATGATATTATGTATTGTGTTTATTGTATGTACATATAGTCAGTGACGCATTCCACCTCTTCTCCGGAGGACGAAAGGGGAGGGAGAAGTAGGTACATTTTTCTATTGAACTGCGAAAATTAAAGAAAAATAAGTTTTTGGAAAAGTGGAAGAGAAATGAATTGTACGCAAATACAGCTAAATAAGCGCAGTCAGAAAAAAGCATCTGAGAAAAGGAAAAGTGCCAGCTGCGAAGTAATAATCTGCTCAAAATGCAAAATAAACTGCGTTGAGGCATGTAAATGCGCTGTTTTTGAGCACAGGGCATAAAAGTGTGAAGGGATGCAAGTGACGTCACTGCTGTATATAGGTACATACAAATACATATTTGCTGATAAGTAGTACTTATTGTAGATTCAAAGCGCTGACTTCAATTTGCTAATGGAATGCTACTGTTCGTTTCAGTGCTAAACTGGCATACATTGCGGAGTCGAACCATCTTCGGCTTGTTTACGAGTAGCGCTGGTCAGGGGACTACTGGGAGTTTTGCCAGCGGGGCTCTTACCGTTTCTGAGGATGTCTTTCATTAAAAACGGTATGCATGACTTTATCTTGATTTCATATATATATATATAAGTAATATAATCTATATATATAATACATATGTGTTACACAGAGCAAGAACCTCCTCTTTTTTCTCTGAGAGGCAGAGGCACTCGAGAAGTAGCTGAAGCGTTGCAAATGCCAACAACAGCTCTTTTGTTGGCAAGACTGTCGATGGCTTCATCTCGTGAGGACTGCTTATAAGGAAACAGCTTGCGGATGTTGCC